ATCCTTAGTATTCCAGCATTCTTTATTTGATGCTAATAATTTTCTTTCTTAAAGATATAGTACTTTCTTTATTTCTTTATTTATTTTTCCTTCACTTAACATCAAATGGCCTTCATACAACTTTAATTCTTGATGTGTTTCGATTTCCCTTTTCATTCGAGAGAAGTGCTTTTATAAAGCTCCTTTTAGCGTGCAAAGAAAAATCTTAAAACATTTGTTATCAAAAGCGATTGAATTAAATTGCATTTCGAAATCTAGTTAAAGATTTTCTTTTGAAGCATGTAGCATTTTATATACCTGATTTTGTAATGGAATGTTCTCTAAAGATTAAGATAAGAGACACGTGTATTCGTGACCTAACAAAGGCAAAAGGAAGAGCACGTTTTGAAATTTAAAATCCATAGAGATTTTGTTCGAAACTAAGCTTTAGTTGAAATATTTATGCTGAAACATCTCTTTCATTTTCTTTTCAGAAAAACTCAATCAGAAAATCTTTTGAGTCGAACAAATGATTTCAAGTGACATAATTTCAAATATTCCTTTCTTTTGTCATGATTTGCAGTTTAAAACTATGCTTATTTTTATCAATGAAAGGTTTATTCTGCAGAGAGAAATTCAGAAACGTAATTAGTTGATATTTTATTTTTTTACTGAAAACGCTGATAAAACATATTTTGAAAGAATTTTGAAGGAAGGGAAAAAATCAACTCCCTTACATCAATGCCTTAAGAACTACTTTAAATTTATAACATGCATGAGAAAAACTCCATCTTTATCACAAAATTTAATTAACATTTTTTAATCGAAACGGATGCTCAGACATTTATAATTATGTCTTTTAATCAAATAAAAATAAGTAACCAATTTAAAAAAGTTTCATCAAAGTTTCAAAGAAGTTACCTTCAGTTACAAAGTCAGCATTTTGTTCCACTGAAATTAACACATTTGATAATAAGTGATGTTTTTTATTGGCATAACTTTTTTCTGCTAACATTACTTTTTTCTGATAACTGAAATTTTAAAGATAAATTCAACACTGAACCTTTCTGCATTACGTTTACTTTGATTCTGGCATGCCATTCCAGTCCTTCAAAATAATAAATATTATTATTTAAAATTTATTTTACAACACTTAATTCTTCGTTTCTCTCTAAGTCTAAAGAAGGAAGATTTGAATATATGTATGTATGCGGAAGTGATTTTGGCAAATCTACTTTTGCTTGATACAAAAACTGTGGAACTCATGTTTGCTGAACTCGGGACAGGGAGAGATTGGTAGTGGCAATTGCGTCAAGCAAATCTCGAAAATTACAATTAAGCAAACTTAAATTGAAGAATTAATTCAGTTATGCAGAGTAAGATAACATGATGTAATAAGAAAATAAAATAACTAAAATTCAAAGGATAGTTCAATAATGATTTATGTGAAAAACGTCTGATGTGGCCACCCACATAACTTCCTAGTACGGCCTATTAAATTATGTATATATTTTTATGCACTTCATTTAAACATTTCCTTGAATTATTCTAAGTTAATAAACCGATCTCTCAAGGCAATGAAAAATGACAAAATGAAAGTCCTCGTCAATTTTTTGTCACCGAGTGTCAAATTTCTTGTGTTTTTATTTTTTCATGAAAAGTATAAAACTTTCCGAAATATGAGAGTGAGATATATATATGAATACAGACTATATGATATATATAAGATATATATAATGAAACAGAGGACCGCATTAAAATTCAGGTGCTCAAAATTAATTTTCTTTTAAATTTAACGTTGCCAAAACATGAATATTTTCGCCATAGTTTTGCTATATTTCACTTAAACGTGTTACCTGAAATTAGTCTAACTTAATTAATCTATTCGTCAAGAAAAGGTGAAAATGAAATTTTGAAATTAAAAATCCCGAACAATTTTTGACGTACGGGAGACGAACTTCTGGCAGTTTTACGTTTTTGCAACAAGTAAAAATTTCTGAAATGCAAGTATAGGAAACGGGAGACCATTAAAAGTTAGATTTCGTTATTTGTTCAATTGTTTTTAATATGACAATTCCGATTTTCATCACTTAAAGACTTTTGTATTTTTGTTGCACTTCATTTAAATCTGTTTCCTGGAATCATTCTAACTTAATTAATCAGTCCTCAAAGCAAATTGAAAAGATTATCAAGAACTGAAAATGCTGAAATTAAATATCCCGGTCAATATCGTCAATTAAAACACCTCTATAGTTGGAAGTTGGAAGTATGTGACTAAGACCAACGATTGCGAAAATAAAGGAGAGATGAAGCCTTTTAACCCAGGCACGGAAGTACGTTTAGTACTGCGAATTAAAAAAAAGGAAAAAAAAAAAAAAACGACAGAATTAGATATTCTAGCAGTCCCGTAAATTTTCTATGGCTAATAGTTTCTGAGTTATGCGAGATATATACCTACGTATACACACCACGAAAGAAGTCCCATTTGAATGTATTCTAAATCTAGTTAACAATTCGTTTTGGAAAATATGAATCTTTTGTTCTGCATGTACATATAGAGGTTATTCAAAAAAATCATCCGAATGTGTTCGGGAACACTCAAAATGGAAATTTCTGTTGAAATATGACCTCCGAAATTTTTAACGTAAAATTTTAAAAGCGTTTCAAAAATCAAATAAAGTGAATCAAAATATTGTTTAAATGAAAATTGTAAAATGTAATATTTGCTTCATTTTACGTCTCTAAGATTGTTCACAGTTAGAAGTGGAGGCACAACATCCACAGTAGCGTTTATAATAAGTATAGTGATCAAACCCATTTATTTACTTTAATATGTATGTTTGATTTTTATAAATTTCTGAAAACGTTTAAAGATTTTCCGAGCAATTTATAGCATCCCTTAGTTAAATCACATTTACAAAGTTATATAAGGTGACTAGAAAGTCCCCTTACCTGAACTAAATACGTGTAACAGTGTAAGATATTAATATATTTTAAGATTTGAACTACCCATCCTGATCATTCATATCACAACAGTGCTCATCACATAAGTCTCAACGTGAGTGTCATTTGACTGCAAAAGGAGGCGAATAGAGATGCCCAAATTCTGCAGTTTCTGTCCACTTCGCTTTAGCGATTTGTTAACACGTCAATGAATTATTCGCCGGCCGGTGGATAGGACGTGGGTTGCTAAATTCACCAGCCCCTTATCCTTGGTTGCCTCTAAGTACGGACCTTAAAACACAAAGCAACATCTTGTGAGGGAGCATCTAATCATACGTCAGGAAGAGTCGGTACGTGGCCTATGATGATCTGTTGGCAAGCACGCTTGAAGCCTTCCAGCATGTAACACAGCAACAACTTAAAGCGAATGAGGAGAAGGATATTCAGGCATATCAAACAATGCAGGGATAATGGTGATGCACATACGAATGTTTTGGACAAATAACTATTAAGTGGTATTAATGTTACAATGAAATAACTGCATATGTAAAGAGATTTTCTGGCCTTTTTGAGACCATTCGGAGGAAACTTAAAGTTGCACTAACGAGCTTGACTTGTCAACCAAATAAGATTATTTTGTCTAGAAGTTTTCTCAGGCTCTTGTTTAGGATCGCTCTTACACCTTATTTAATCATATTCAATAAGCTTATTTACTATAAACAGAAAAGTACAAAATACACGAAAACAGTCATAGTTGAATTTAACATTCCTCGTGTTATTCTTAAATCGTCACTCTGGGTTGCTCATCCCTTAGTATATAAACCATGATTAAGACACAATAACACGCCGAACAAATACTAATTCAGAAGTAAAAAAAAAATCAGCATTATATTTTCAAATTTTCACAGGACTAGTTTCGATGGTTTTACCGAACCACCATCGTCAGCTGCAAAAGCGCAAATGAACAAGATAGGATATAATGATCAAATAAGATTGTAAGGATCTTAAGTTTTACTAACGTTTATTTTATTTTAAATCTTTACTATCACTTCTTATTTTCTACTTCCGGCCAGAATTTTAAGGTTTTTATGCAAAGTTTGTCTGGCGAACGCCAAGTATTTATGTTGTGGCCTTTTGCCAAGCGAGAGAGAGGAAGCAGTGAGTTCGAAGCAGGCCGCTTACCTTAGAAGTTACGCAGTTGCTTGTTGCCTTCCAGGCCAGAAGTTTTAATCCTCTTGATAACTTTTAAACGTATTGTAGTGTTCTCAGTTATCTGTACTACATACGCCTTCCTGTTAATATAAGGCCAATCTTCCACGTTTATTATTCTAAAGTTAAATTAGAGTTTAGTTTTATTTTTATACTTTTACGTTAGACCCCGAGTAGCGGGTCGGTGTATTCCGAAGTACGGAAGTTATTGTATATAAAGAAAAATAAAGGGTTTTGTATACCCTTCGTCTGTATCCTGTCTACTTACCACAATTAGTGAACATAGCTTTAGTAAGCTCTCTGTTCCGAGTCAGGTCCTTGTATGTTCCCGAAGAAGGTAAGAAGGAACATTGACCCTGATAAGATAAGAAGCTTATTTTCTATCCAGATTTATTATCTTATCTGATCATTATATCCTATCTCGCGCTTTTGCAGCTGACGATGGTGGTTCGGTAAAACCATGGAAACTAGTCCTGTGAAAATTTGAAAATATAACGCTAATTTTTGTTGTTTGACTTCTGAATTAATATAAACCACGGTTAACGCATATATTGCTTTTGCTAGTTTAAAATATCTTCTTTTTTTTGAGTAAATTAAATTATACGTTCTAGCGATTAAAATGAATCAACGAAATCAGGATAGGAAGATTACAGATTCACAAAATCTTAATTGTTTAATAAAATTCGCTGTAAAATCTCATCAAATTGCTAACGATATTCAAAACGCATATTTGCCTAAAAAAGAAGAGCATTTAACTAACAAATTATTGTGAAGCACTTCGCAACTAGTTACTGAAGGACAGAGCTAATATAATTTGTAATTCAAAAAATGTATCCTGGAACTGGAGTCACAATGCCATTTCTCTTCAGGTGGTTATAATCCTTTGGACAGATTAGTAACCGGAAAAATGCTGCCCCTCAAAGAATGTTATAAATACCAATTAGAGACCGAACAGTGGACAGCACTGCAACCCATGAATCATGCTCGGTGTCTGCACAGCGTCGTTACTTTCGGCAGTGGCCTTCTAGCTATTGGAGGAAAAGATGAAAACAGTAGGTAAGGGCCATCAACTCTTTTATTAAATCTTTCTTCCCTGTCTTTCTATAGCTGTTCCATTTCTGCACTTATAAATTCTTTTACCAGTTTTGTCAGCTCCTAATTCACACATAATGTTTGCAATCAGGAACTCCTTCAAAGTTTCAGAGGGGGAGTGCTCTCATTTATTTTATTTAGCTCTTGAGTATTTAATTTTAGTTTATGAATGTAAAAAACAACTTTCATTCAAATTTTGATATTTATCAACGATTTCTAAGCTATTTGTCGTTTAATTTATAAAGTATGTTAAAAAATCATCTTAGATAAATGTATATATATATATATATATATATATACATATATTTCAAGTTTTGGAAAGGAGGGGGATGATCTTCTGGGTATTGTGAAAGGGGTGCTCGGGTACATGTGGCAAAAACTTTTGAGAGCCTTTGTATTTTAAGCTCCTTTAGCAGTTTTTCCGAAATTTGGCTGCTGTTATACAAAGAGAGATTTAAAAGAAAGATAGCAATTCTTAATAATTTAGACAAAGACAATTGCTATGCATTTAAAAACATTACACAGGACATAAATGATGTATGTTAAAATATATTTAATTTTTAATATGTCCAAGTAATATTTTTATGGACATTTGCAGCGCTAATATAATTGATGCTATTATAACTGAAAACTAGGGTTAAAATCAGTCAGACCCTAGTAGATAAATAACGAGTTATCTCTATGTTTCAATAGCAATATTTCCAATGACATAAGTATTACGTACTTTAATACAAAATTGCTTTAGCACTCTACACACTTTTTCCAGTTCTACTTCGAAGTTTCGAGGTTAGTTTCGCTTACCTATAATTAAAGCATATTTACTTAGAGCAAAATATGATAATGGTTTTTGTGCATGCCAAATTTGTAACTTAAAACAGAATAGAAAACGCAAACAAAGGTTCTGGGGAATAAACATTGACAATTCAAAATACATAATCGTAAAAAGAAACCATTTTTTGCTTAGCCTGGTGACATGACTTGGCATGGCGGGTTAAACAGACAGAAAATTGTTTAGGTAAACAGTAGAGATGGAATCAGATTGATTGCGATAATAAGAATATCAAGGAAGGGAAGGTTCAATTTCAAAGATTCCAGATTCAATTTCAAAAGTGATGGGATGGTTGGATCAGTCGAGTTTGTAATAGATAAAATCTGGGATAAATCTTTATTATCATCAAAATGCGTCAAAATGTCGTTTATGTAGCGAATTCAGAGACGAAATGGTAGTTTCTCTAATATTTGCTGACAATTACAAGCACTGTTTTAAGATCAAATTACTCATACAGGGTTCCGCAAGTTGCTCTGCATTGAGCCACATGCTTTGGCAAAAGATAATGAACATTAATGTTTCTTTGCTTTTTTAAATCGTTAATCTTCCTTTTTTGAATTTTACTTCCTTGTACAAAGAAAAGAAAGTATTGTAATCACGAAAAATTCCGAGTTTCATATTTCAACGAAAACATCCATTTTGACCGCCATAGAATGCAATTTAAAGATGTTTTTGCGTGACATCTATACGTAAGGACAGAATAAGGACACTTTTTTCCCCAAACGAATTATAAAACTGATTTAAAGTGGATTCAGAAGACATTTCTTTCGTGGTGTATATACGTACTTACGTATGAATGTATGTATCTCGCACACCTCAAAAACGACTAGCCTCAGAACATTGAAATTTTGTATATAGGACTGCTATAACATGTAGTTGTGAAGCTCCCTTTTTGGTTACAATCGGCCGCACCAAAATTATATAAATAAATAAATATATGTGGCGTTCCGACAGATACTTCAACTTCTATTCATGAGATGGCGCCACGTGTAAAATCCAGTTCTTAATCGGAGCAGCAAAGCGACGTCATTACTCACTCAGACTTCTCGGAAAACAACTGTACGCGACGGTAGTATGAACTGTGTTCCGATCTCTGCGTTGATGTCTGCTATGTAATTTAAATTGTAATTTAGTACTTAATATATTCTTTTGTTATAGGAGATTGTCTACTCTTATTTTTTTTTAATTATATCATGCATTAAGCACACACGACCACCAAATATACATATATTATATACTTTTAAAATTAAATCCACTCTAATAAAAACTAATAAACTCAATGAATAATAACCTAAATCTAATAAAACGCAATAAAAACCCATTCTGTTACTCGGCTTAGTCAGCTCAGTTCTTTTATTCTTATATGTTGGTAAATTTTCCATTTTTGCTTTAAAATGATTGAATTATGTTGTTTTTATCTTCCGGTTAACGTTTTTATGACTTTAGTTAATCTGCATGCAATAGCTGTAGATTTATCAACAATTTAAAAGTTGTTTTAGGGAGGCAAAGCCTAGATTTTTTTACCATTGCTCCCATATTTGTTTACATTTAACACTTTACAAAATAATTAATTAAGTCTTCCTGCACATTCAGCTTCTTGTTGCTGAGTGCGACCAAAACGAATCTTTTTGTTTTGTGCACCGAAAAATCTGCCTTCTTACTTGCTGCCCGAATTGCTTGTTTTTACGTAGAAACTAATTTTAATTAAATGTTTTTTATTCTTTTAACTGTCTTTGGTTTTTTTCATATCTTTCAATTTTTAATGAAGATATTTTGAGTTTTATGTATTTTTGCATTGCCGCGAAGTGAGAACTGAGTTAATTGAATGAGAAATGTAGCTGTAATGAAATTTGAGGAAATAAAAGTAGCAGCCAATACTGTCGCCACTCTGTCTCGGACAGAGGTGAATGTTTACAAGTAGCGCATACACATTAGGTAGCAGCGCCGAATAATCTGTGAATCTGCCAGAGTGTCGCTATAGTGAATTTTAAAGAGTGCATTTATTTTATTGTGGTTTATGCGGTAGTAGATTTAATTCAATTTAATAAGTTTAAATTAAATGCATGAAAAAATGCGTATACTTTTATAAAATATTTCTCCCGCCTACTTAGCATACCTTCGTGATGTAATGGGCAGAACACTCGGCGCGTATTCGAGAGGTCCGACGTTCGAGTCCTGGCGAAGGCATTGCTCATTTTTCATCTCTCCTGCTTACAAAAAAAAAAAAAAAAAAAAAAAAAAAAACCTTATATCTCTACAGTTTAAGATTCCATACAAAGAAGTGATGTGGTGTACACATAAGTTTTTTATTGTTGATGTATATAAAAAATGAAATTGATTTGTGTGTCGAAGAAGTTTCTCTTATTACTAACGATTTAACTTTAGAATCATCAAAAACAGTACTTTCGCGTGTTTGTCAGGAATCTTCGTTCCATGTAGAAGTCATGACTGACGGTGTTCGGAATAACAAAAACTGCACTTTGAAATTTTAATACCATGCATTTCACAACTTTTTTGAATTACGGAATAGGAATATTTCTATTCCGAAAGCTCAAAAACATATCATTCAGTCCATAACCTGTTTATATGCGACATTTTGAAAGAAGAGTGAATTTAAAAGTAGCAGATGATATTTTATATTTCAAATAAAAAGCTGCTGCAAGATTATTCGTTTTTTAAAATTTGTTACCGAAATCGTTTTAAAAATGTGTAAATACCTGTAAAATTCCGAAGCAATTTAAAAGGAAATTTGAATTTACTTCAGGAACTAGCTTAAAATAATATTATTAAACTGTCGGGAAAATATAAGACCGAAAGTAAAGGAAATCAAGACTTTTAACATTTAAATAAAAAGTTTACGTAAATGTCTAGATATGTATGTTTGTGTAAGAATATGTTAAAATATAATCAATTGAAAAGAGCATTACATACAAATTTTAATATATGCTTATTTTTAAGCTATTTTGGAGATATTTTTTCAGCTAATAATTTAATTGAAACCATTGTAACTGATTTGTTATGGGATCTGCAAAATGCTTCTTTTCTTAGTATCTTTTATGCATAAAAAGTTGAAAAGAATTAGATTGAGTTTTAAATGAGGTCAAGGCTCACTATTATTATAAATGATTTAATTATTTTTTTTACAAAGTTTTTTTTTTTTTTTTTTTTTTTTTTCCCAGTTCGAAAGAAGTTTTAAGGTTTTTATTTGACTTTGAAAACTATAATGTTATTTCAAATGAAAATGTACGTTATTTCATTCCTAGTGAATATTACACTTATGTTGACACAGATGTAAGTTTCTCTATACATATTTTTTGAACTGCCTTATTTTACAGCTGGCAGCTGACTGAAGGTAGAGACTCCATACTCCATCAAGAGGCTTAGTTGCATTGTTTCGCGTTCGAGCATACCTAGTATTTAGAGCTACATTGTGGGTTGTATTATATCGATAACCTTGCATGGTATTGTTGCTGTTAAGGCCTAGGATATTATTCACTTTATTAAAAGGAGACTAGTGTCCTTAGCCACAACCCAGAAGTTACACACCCACACAATACATCTCACACTTGCATAATACACAATTTGGATGTGCAAAATACTCAAAAGGATTTACAGAAGATACACTTTAGCCCATTAAATATACACTATCAAAAGTAACGCTTCATAAAACAAATACTTTACAAACCTTACAATATTTTACAAATATACATTTCGAAACAGCAACTACAGTAGAAAAGAAAGCTACAGTGAAAATAAAGGTTGTGCTTTAGTCGCTGTTTTTATTTTTGTGATTAAAGGGAAAAAGTTATATAATTAGGCATAGACTGGCGTCGTGTTTTGTTAAAATCTTGAAAATCTTGGCGATCTTTGCCACTAGATGATGTTTTATCATAAACTTATAGTTGGTTTATGTGCTATTATAAGCTATTTCCCCCGCCTTCTTAACATGACTTCGTAGTGTAGCCGTCAGCACAATCGACGCGTATTCGAGAGGACCGTCGTTCGATTCCCGGCAAGGGCATTGCTCATTTTTTATTTTTCCTGCCTTCGTAGTGTAGCAGTCAGCACAATCGACGCTTGTTCGAGAGGACCGTGGTCCGATTCCCGGCAAGGGCATTGCTCATTTTTTTATTTT